TGTGTGACCTTGGCTAAGCCATGTGACCTTGTTGGGCCTCACTCCTTTTATCTGTGATGTGGGAATATGAAAATCTACCTGACATGGTTGTAGAGAGGATTCTAATTTGTAAGCGTGACTCTCCTAGCAGGGCACCTGGCAAAGAGCGTGCACTCAAGAGCTGGCATCTTTTAGAGTAGGTACAGAATACTTGTATGTTGCTGTTTCAGCGGATGTGCCTGAGATAAATAAAGAGCTGGTGTGGACAATGCGGTGGTTCAGGTCCCTCGAGCGATGGAAGTCTCCGTCCAGCCTTGAGTGCCCTCCTTGTCTTGTCGCTGTTCCTTGCTTTGAGTGCATCTAACCTCACAGCCAAGTTTCATGAGAGAACAAGCAGCTTGTCCTTTGGGTGTCAGCTGAGGGAATGGAAAGTGCATACTGGTCCACCCATCAGGAGCCCTGGGCTCTGGGGGTTACCTCAGTCCATTGGGCAAACCACTCAGCCGTCATCGCTTGAGCCCAACACCAACCCACGAGCCACGGTGATGCCGTTATCCCCACTTTGCTGATGAGGAAACTGAGGCACGGAAAGGTTTGATGACTTACCAAACAGCACAACGTCAATAACGGGCAGCGACAAGAGCAGACTCGTAACCTAGTGTTTTCCTACTATACCTCACTGCCTCCCAGACTGTCAGGAAAATTATGTCATCTGACCCAAGAATTCTCCTCTGGAAGCTCCTCCCAGCCTGTCTATTTGAAGATAAAAACAACCACAAATTCAGTTTACATCTTCTTTTATTCCCTAGCCTATTTGAGCCAAGGCTGAATGGTGCCAATTTGCCTATGGTGGTTTTTATGATGTGGGCTGGGTTCACTGGGGACTGCTCTGAAACCATCAAATTCATTTCAATTAGAAGTGTAACTTAATGTCCAATTTTCCAACCAGATTCCCTAGGTAAAAGAAGGCCATTTTGTTTGCTGAGCTGCCTCAACCCGATGCACACTATTTCTGGGTACCAATTATGCCCAGTTGTGCACCCCGGCTAAGGCATTTTCTCCAAGTTAAAGGGAGGCACAACTCAATCAAAAGAGAGGTGGGAGAATCAGCATGGAAAATGGGGGGATGTGTGAAATTTGAACCAGGGTAGATCAATTCCAGAACGTTGCCCAGGGATTCCTAAAAAGAACCCAGGGAAAAGTAAATACATCTCATCCTTATTAACACTCCAAGCCCTTAAATGAGTCCTGATGTTAATCCCTAAGAGATGCCTAAATGCCTATTTCAAATTGTTGCCCCACTTGTCTTATAAAACAACTTGTACTTCTTTTTATTCTCTCCATGTTCAAAAATCAAGGAAATTCCTTTTGCAGTCTAGGGCCAAGGAACAACCCAGGCCTGGCTTTGATTACTGAAAGCTGGAGAATTTTGAGTGAAAGCTGCAGCCGGCTGCCAGCCTTGTTATTAGCAATAAGCATCAAGCCGTTCTCGGGAGATCAGGGGCCTTTTGAGGATGTCTGACAGCGGCCCGCACTTCCCCTCGACAGCACCTGCAGTCACCGCTGGAGGTATGGGCCTGTCCAGAACTCCATTTCTCCTTGGCTGAATCGGCAGCTGTAACCAACAGAGAAATAACCCCTTATATTTATATAATATCTACCTACAAGCGACTCCAATTGCCATCCTCCTGTTTAAGATTCTACAACGGTTCCCCATTGTCCCTCAGAGCAAGTCCAAGTGCCTGGGCTTATTTTTCTAGGTCTTGTGACAACAGACCTCACCTCAGTTATGCAGGGGCTTTTTTCTTTTCTCTCTTTTTTTTTTTTAATAAACAGCTTTCCGGGCCAGACATTCTTCTGCAGCCTGAGAGGGTTATTATGGAGGGAGTAGAAAGATCTCCAGAGCTGGAAGGCTTGGTTCAAACCCCAGCTCTACCCCAACTATAGGACCAGGGCAGGCAAGTTACACTCTTTACCCAGGAATCCGTTCTTTTCTTGTGTAGAAAACGATGCATTCCGAGTAGATGATCTAATCTAGCATGTCCTTCGACAATCTGAAATCTTACAGTTTTCCTCTCCATCGACTGTCTTTTTCTTCCCTTCTCGCCTCTGTCTTAGAGGTTGGATGAGCTAAGATGTTTGCTTCCCAGCCTCTCTTTCAGCTGTCAGTGGCCAAGTGATGCAGTTCTGGCTGACAAGGCACAGGGAGGTCTGCTGGGGTGGCGGATGGCTGTGGCGCCCCATGTCACATGCCCTTAGCCCACCTCTGATTTCAGCTGCAGCTGCAGTGGACGGTTTCGTGTCCTTTGGACTCACTTCACGCAGACAGCATCTAACTTCCAGTGTGCACTGTGCACCTTCTCGCTCTTTACTCTGGGGCTTCTCTGATGCTATGTAAGCTCACTGGACCTGCACACAAGTAAATCCTGGAGGTGTGGGGTTCATGCTCTTGGAGTCGACCCTCAGTCAATGGGGGACAGGGCCTGGTGGGGAGATGCTCCAGCCGCCTTCAGGGGTGGACAGGTACCCCTGCCTTTCAGGGGTACACTTCTGGGAGGCATTGCATACACCTCTCTGGAGGTCCAGGTGGAACTGAGCCCCCATTGCCCATGGCAGCAAACTCCTTAGCAGACCTTCCTGTCTTTCTTTCCTTCCCTCTCTTACTCTCTGTTCTTCCTCTTCTGCTTTCCAGGAATCAGTTGCCGAATAAACTAGGCGTGCACAAGTCTTTGTTTTGGGCTTTGATTTTGGGGCAACCCAAACTAAAATAGCTGGCATCACCTTCTCTCTTTCTTCTATCTTGAATGCAGATACAGATGTGATGGCTGGAGCCAAGCAGGCTTTTGGGGACCACCGTGAGGGAAAGCCTAAGAAAGTGGCAGAAATGTCACCTCTGACATATTTGAGTGACTGAATCAACACCAGCAACTGGCAACTTGTAGATTTCTTGTTATATGAAACTTACCCCTATTTATTTAAGCTATCGCTGCTTGGATATTTTCTGACTTATAATTGAACACAATCCTAATTGATATATTAGTTTTGCTCCAATATACTATAATCATTTTTAATCTCTGTGTCTTTGATCATGTTGTTCTCTTTACCTGAAACACCCCCTCCACTCCTTTCTGTTGTTCTACATTGTCTTTTTCTTTTATGAATCAGATGGGGGGACAAGGGGAAGATGGCGGAGGAGTAAGACGCCGAGATCACCTTCCTCCCCAGAGATACACCAGAAATACATCTACACGTGGAACAACTCCTACAGAACACCTACTGAACACTGGCAGAAGACCTCAGACCTCCCAAAAGGCAAGAAACTCCCCACGTACTGGGTAGGGCAAAAGAAAAAAGAAACAACATAGACAAAAGAATAGGGACGGGACCTGCACCAGTGGGAGGGAGCCGTGAAGGAGGAAAGGTTTCCACACACTAGGAAGCCCCTTCGCGGGCGGAGACTGTGGGTGGCGGAGGGGGGAAAGCTTCGGAGCCGCGGTGGAGAGCGCAGCAACAGGGGTGCGGAGGGCAAAGCAGAGAGATTCCC